AAGTTGGAATTCGAATTCCAAGTTCCATGAAAAATATAGTGTAATCAAACAGGGCCTAAGTGTTTAAATGTTAAATTCTTGACAATGCTTGATTAATCTTGCAAATCATTTGCCAAAACCCCATAAGCACTAAATTTCAATTCAAGATAGAGCAAATATCGTTCGAGAACAATGATTACGTGTTCGGGCTTGTTTCATCTTCTTGTTATATCTAATTTGTTTTCTTCTCTATTCCTCTTTGTGCAAACATTATTTTCCAACATTAACACACTTACGCAATCTACTAACCGAGAAGGGACATTAAGTCACAACTTCTCAATACGTTATTAGCTATTTTCGGGAGAACATCACCTACATGTTTGAGGTAGAAACATGCTTTGCAAACTCTGTGAGCAACAAGAATTTAAGATTCAATGGAAAACTCTACCTAAAAAAATTTGAAAGTAGAGATCAAACCCTTTCAATCACATCTAGTAGTTGAATTTATCTAGATTCACAGGTATATCACTCTTCAACTAGAAGGGATATAGCTTTTAGAGATTTTTGAATGATTCATAGCTACACAACTATAAATTTGTGACTTGCATATTTGTCACTACCCTCATCAGAGAAATCGTTGTTGCACTCATCTTTATCTGTAATTAGTGGTAGTTTTGCCTCTACTTCCATTGCTCAAAATTTCCTATGAGAGTCCGTTTGGCACAACTATTGTGAATAGAGCTTTTACAGTAGAAGATCACTGTTTGATTGTGAATCCCAAAAATGTAGTGAATATTAAATTGATTGTTGGAGAGTAAATTTTTATTTTTATTTATTTTTTATTTTTTAAGTAAGTTAAAAATTAGAAAGCTTTTTGATATATTCACATGTATTTTGTTAATTTTAAAGTTCTATTAATGTAAATTACAGCTTTTCGTAAAAGCTCAATTACAGCCTTTTTTCAGAGAAGTTCAAAATTTGAGCTTCTCTTTTAGAGTTATTTTTTGGTCAAAGGTACTTTTTGATTATAATTAAACAAAAAAAGGGCCCTTATATACAGTTTTGTATAGGGGATCCCTATAGAGTTTGTATGGTTTTTGTTATTGTTGTCATTTGGTTCTCAGTTCGCTAGTGCCATTGCCTTCGGGCTTGGATCGGGCTATGATCAGTTGGCAACATGGTATTAATATGAGATTGAAAAATGGAAGTGGGCTTAAATACACTTTAATCAGACATCGAGACTCAGTTCAGAATTTGAAGTTTTGGGCTAGTTCTAGTTTAATGAGGTTGTACTCCATCATCACCTCAAAAAAATTGTATCAAGATGATTGGGCCTATTCGGAAATGATTATAAGAATTGATTTTTTGACCGCTAAAGAGAAAAGTGAGTTCTACTTGTGAGTGAAGAAAAAAAAA